CTTACGTTAATATCTCCTTACTAGCAGTGTCAGTGTGACCACTGGCATCGTAAATTACCTGCTCAGATTTCCGTGCCCTACAAACAGTTCTTTGCTCCATCATAATAAATTCAGAAATTTCCACCTGAAGTACCAGAGAAGACCAAGCTATCTTTTAAATAATACTGTTTCTGTAATTCCAATCTAATAAATACCACATAGAAATTACTGTATTTTTCTACTTAAAGGCTTGCTGAACAGTATAAAGAGCAGAGTTGGATAACTATGTCAGATCTGGAGAAAGAATTGAAAGAGATGGAGGCACAGTATGAGAAGGAATTCGGAGATGGATCAGATGCTGAAGTTGAATTGGAAGGACAGGAGACAAAAGAAGGCGATGAAGGTATGCGGCGTGGGGGTGTGAGCTGTATGAATTGTTCAGTGTGAGTACTGGCTCACTGCACTTGGAACCCCAGGTGCATGTGGTGAACGTCCCCTGTCTCCAACGCTGGTGTGCCAGGTTAGAAGCTGGGTGTCTGATGTTTTCCATCGAACATGAGAAGATGTAAAGCCATTAGCCGTTAGTTAGTTAAGGCATTAAATAGTGAAGGAGCTGAATGTCAATGTTGTGACTGTTTCCTGGGGCTTTTAATAGCAACTAACCTGAAGATTGCTCTTCTGACTTTGTCTCTTCGATCCCATTGATTTCTTCAGACAAACTGAATGATGTGGCTGAAGAAGCTGAATATGCTGATGATCTCTACTGCCCTGCTTGTGACAAAGTGTTAAAAACTGAGAAAGCGTAAGTGTGTCTGTATATAGCTGGAAACTTTTCAGCAGTGGTAGGGGAAGGCATTGCTTTTTTAAAGCAACTTTTTAACAAGCATTGTAAGAACTTTTTAGCTTCGCATAATAATGTCTTCTTTCCAGCTGAGGCATTATCAGAGCAAAGTTTTCCATTCTTACTAGTGATAAATAATGGCCCTTTTGTTAATTTATATGTGAGTGTAACAGTATTTACTCAAATATACCTGCAGTAACTATTCAATAATCTTCACAGCATGAAGAATCATGAAAAATCAAAGAAGCATCGGGAGATGGTAGCACTGTTACGACAGCAACTGGAAGAAGAGGAAGAGAAATTTCCTGCGTCTTCAGATGATGTGAATGGAATGCATACCAAAGAGGAGGAAGAAACAGGAGAGGTGCCCAAACAGAAGTACTTAAAATTATTTATTATTTTAAATTTTATTATGAGTTATGATTTATTAAATCTCTGAGCTCAGAGGGAGCTTCTGACTGGATTAGTTGTTGTATTGGAACTCACAGTTTTGTGCCAATTTAAAATATTTCTTTGTATTGGAGTTCCAATAAAATGCATACATTAATTTGTCCGGATTCATGTGTAGGATATTTTTCAAACAGAGAAGCTTGGTGCAGTTCCAGTGTATACCAGTTTAGTTATGCTGCTCTTTGTCAGTTGGATGCTGGCATAGGTAGAAAATGAGTGTGCTTGAAAATGAATGGAACTTAATAAGTTACGTTGTACAACTTCCATTCTTTGAATGGACCAAACGTAACATCAGCTGCCTTTTTAGTATCTTTAAGTTCAGTCTGAGCAGAATAAATGTTTTATTAATGCAGTAAGTAGATGATGAGAAGTGTTGCTTTCATTTCAGATGAGAATTGTTTTCTAGTTGTGGCTGCTATCTCTCTCATGTTACAGTGTTAAGAAAAATATAATTTGATACCTTTCTAGAAATTGTATTAATGTTTTCTTTTTTAAAAAAGTCTATTTTACATTCCTACCTTTCCAGACTCTCCAAGAAGCAGAAGAAGAAACAGAAAACAATGATGGTAGGCAATCAGACATAATGAATTTCAAAGAACTTTATTTACAACGTGATTTTGTTTTATATATTATCGTAATACATCTCACAGACCTGACTTGAGAAGCATGTGTACAAACAGAATAAATGTGGTGCAGGTTCCAAAAACCTTATGGGTTGAAATGTAAAGAAAGGAGATTGAATGGACAGAGAGAGAATGCAAGGAATTGATCAGCAAGACCAGCGGTGGCTCTGATGTATTAGTGACTTAACTGTTTGGTGATGGTCTTCTGCTTTGATTGATAGACCTGGAAGAATGTACTGTTTGTAAAGTAACTTTATTAGCATCCTACTGAAACTAACAAACACCATTCACTCCACCTCTCACTTGCATTCCAGGCACCAGTAATGCCAATCTGGCATGTTCCAGGATCCCATCTGTGAATGACAGAACAGATCTGTGCTGACAGGAGCAGGCTGGGATTCAAGAATTGCATGTCTGTGTCAGCCTTGAGTGTCAGGAACACCACACAGGGCAGACTGCTCCCTCTGCCTTTCTCATGCATGATCCTTTCCTACTTGTACTTCTTTCCTATTCAGTATCACTCAATCATAGTCGTGAAACCACTGAGCTACATACGCTAGATCCCGCATCTTGCATGTTTTCCAGGATGGCCTCAGGGTTTTTCCCCAGCCTAACCCTTCTAGTCTCATGTGTTCCCCTTCTCTGCCCTCTCCTCATCATCATCTCTTATCAAGAAACTTCTCCAAGGCTTTCAATCAGCTGAATTTTTCTTGCTTCTCTTTGTTGGTTTTGCATTGTCCAAGTTGTATTGGCTTGCCCTTCTTGTTTCCATGCAGGCCATCAACATCTTATCCAACTCTGGCTTCTTCACTTCCTTTTCAGTTTCCCTGAAATTCTTTTTCATCTACTTTATAAATGTTCTGTGTAGGCACCTTGTCTCCCATCCTTCAGTTATGTGAAGTTAGGTTTTTTGCAGCCTGGAATGTGGGCTGCACACTCACATAACTGACCTGGAATTTTATTATGCAGAGATCCTAGAAGCGTAACTTCTATCTGCTATCAGTCTTCACCGAGAGTTGAGAATTATTGTGATCTTTGGTTTTTTGCCTGGAGATAAAACTACCTGAGAAAACGTGGCTAAGCTATCTATGTCTGCAAGAGTTACTGTAGGAGATGTAGTCATATTAACACAGTGTTACGTTTATTCTACTTTTGGAAATTGAGCTTTGCCTCAGACATGCACAGATATTGACCTCTTACTAAACAGTTGTTGACTCTGATTCTGATACATGGAAAAGGTAGCCAGAAGATAGGGAGGGAAGATACAGTGTGTTTTGCTTCAGTCGGTTCAGTTATTTTGGCTTAAGTGTCCTAATACAGATGTCTGGCACAGAAACCAGTGAAAACGTTAGTCAAAGTTAAAAACAAAGCCATTATGATGTGATGTGACATAGAGCCTTGTGTTCAAGCTCTTTGTGTAATTAAAAACACAGCTGGTCTCATCTTTCAGAAGAGAGGAGTGAAGATTTTGCTTGTTGGAATCCCACTGAAAATACAGCGTAAAATTCAGAGGCTTCATGGTTTTGTGTGTTCTCCCCACACACTCATGTTTTAAGGTAAATGATGATAAGCATAGTCACTAATGAGCATCAAGTAACTTTTATTTCTTCTATTTGGACAGACTTACGAGGACTCTTTGGATAAAAGTGCTGATGAGGAAACAATTGAGAAAAAGGAATTGCCCTGTGTGGAGAAAGACAGTGGTCCAGCTGAGCAGTCTGTAAATGATAACCAAAGATGTGCTGTGACAGAGGAAGCAAGTGCTACAGAAGATAATAGCCAAGTGAATGAAGCACAGAGTGAAGTGAAAAGGTGTGCTGACCATGTCATTTTATGTCATGTTTGATACTGTAACAAGCAGATCTTTCTCACCTGTGAATTTAGGGCTACTCCACTAAATCAGAGTTACATAAATACAGTACTGAACAAAGAGTGTTAGGATTTACTTTGGAAATGTTATTAGACTGCGTATCAGCACTGCATCATTCACAAGTAGCTGATTCATCCTTTAGCAGAATCTTGAGATTTCACGTAAGCCGCATGGCTTTCTATTTTGCTGGAACCACTTAGGTTGTGTGAAGAAAGAACAGTGACTTGAATGCAATCACTCTTTAATTTGAATATTCTTGTGCACTAATCTTGGTTTCTCTTTGTCTGTCAGCAGCAGTAAGCCTAAGGGTAAAAAAGCCAAGGATGCAAAAAAGTCTGCTAAGGGATCTTCAGAACACCAAACAATGGTATGTCGAATTACTTACACTGTTTAAAAAAACAGGGTCATGTCATTACAAACAAAAAAAAGTTTGTTTTACCTCCAGTTGCCAAATTCTGTTCTGGTTTACTACTTACTTTTTGATAATAATAGGTTCTCTTTCTGTGATTTTATTAGTATTTAGGACACTGGAACATCAGCTCTTGTCTATGCAGAGAAGTGCAGGGCTAAATTTCAGGTCTAGGAGAGTGGCTAGAACTCAGTTATCAAAGCAGTTCAAACCAAAAAATGTAAACATCTGAAGATGGCTGCTCTCAGCAGGCAGGTGGGAGACAGTACTGTCTGCATCTTTCCAAATATTGGTTCTTCCCAGAAGAACAACTCTTGTAATAGCTACACCTAAGGCATAAATTCGGCATACCTCAAACTCAAAATATTATATTTATAGTCTTGTTTACTGACGTGAGATCAAAGTAATCTTTTTCATTAATTACTGTTAGTAAGCTTCTGCTGTATTCTTGGCTTTACTTGGCTCTCCTTAAAGTTTCACAAAGTTATGCTTTTAATATTCTATTTTAATTGCCAATCAGCAATAGGATATTAATTAGAGAAACAAACAATTTAGTCACATTTCATTCTTCTACAAGTAGCTAGGTAGAGCCAATTGGTGTATTCTATTTATTACACATTGTATTTATTACACATCTTGTACAGATGTGAACAGTTTGTTTTCTTTCATCTTTCAGAATGAAGTTCCCATTCACTGTGTAACCTGCAACTGTACATTTCCATCCCGAAATAAACTGTTTGAACATCTAAAAGCAACAGGACATGCAAAAGCAACACAGGCACTGTCTGTAAATGGAGCTGTTCACACCAGAAGCAAAAAAGAGAAACGTAAAAACAGATAGAACTTTATTACACTGACAGTCTTTAGAATCATACAAGAAAATTCTCTAAAACATTGAAAAGTGTGCAAAGGTAAAGTGGGAAGGCAATCCCAGGTTTTGGTGGAAGAAACAAAAAGGAAAAAAGAAAAAAAAAGGAAGATTTGGAAGATGTAACAAGGAGAATGTTATCTCGTGGAGCAATTTTTGCTTTTGCTTGTTTTTACCGTTTTTTCTTTACTGACTGAACTTGACCTACGCTTCTGACAGCTGTCTTGGTGAAGGGGCAGTAGTGATGCAGAGTTGCCTAGCATTCCTGTTGAAACTTGTGTGGATGGAGTAACTATGCAGAGGGAATACATTATTTGACCACATCACAGTTGTTTTCTTTACAGAGACAGAAAATTATTTGAGGCTAAGATTGGACTCTGCTGTTTTGATCTTCCATCAGAAATGAAATATGAGCAGCACAAGTGGAAGAGTAACCATCCTCAGTGTCCCCTTCAAGTTAACCAGCGGACAAAAGGGGAAAGATGTCAGAGTTGGTTAATTACAGTTTGGACAGTCCCTGTTAGTTTTGTACGTGACCATGTGTGCTAAGGTGTTTGTACTGGGGAGGGAAATCCTGTGGATGAGCCTTCCTGGAATAAGTGTGGGAAGGAATGGATGATGGCTGAAGTGTCAGTGTTAATGTGTATGAGTTGACTTGCACGCAGGGGTTCTGTCCCATGGTACATGCACACTCAATGCTGCCAATTGAGGAGAGAGTGGCAGGTGGTATGGATTGCTCTCCACATGTGTTTTGATTTCCTAATGAAAAACAAAATGGGAACTGGTATTATGTCTCTGTTTAAGTGTGTAATTAATTCATTCTGAATAACACTTAACAAAAAGAAAAGATGAACACCTGAGTTTGGAGTGCAAGTGAACAAAAGAGTTTTGCAAAACAAGCAGTCAGTGAAGTCAGAGAATCCAGTGTTCATGGAGGACTTGGGGATATGGTATTTTTAGTATACTCCTAGCTTTTTCTGTATTTCTCTCATTGCATTTTCTAAATGTAATGCTCTTGCCTTACCTGAGTTGCTCTGGCATTTCAGCTTATCAAAAAAAAGGGTGGAAACAGAACTGCTACTAGATCAAGAAATTATTCAAACATTAAAACTTTCATCAAAGTAAAATGACAAATGTATAGTTCTTGCTAACAGACAACAATGCTACTTTTATTGGAGAGTGGAGAAGGTAACAAAAATTTTGTTTCAAAAGTGATTGTTAGAAAAGTTGTACTTTGTTTCACCTATCTTTGCTAAATAACTACAAATCAAAAAGCAGCAGGAAGAAAAGCAAAGAGGTGTTTTTTTTGTTTGTTTTTTGTTTTTTTGGAGGGGATGATGACTGGATTTGACATTAAAAATAATTTCCATAATTAGAAACTTTCAATTTGTGTGCACAGATTTTTTAATGTTGTAATTACACTGTATCACTGTGATAAAGTTTTAGCTCTGTTTGAGACACGCAGTTACATTCTGCTCAGAATGCTTCCTAGCCCAAGAGTGACTTTGTGTGAAATCTCATGTTATGGGGTAAGACTTAAGCTGCAAAAAAACTTTTCAGTTGATTATTTTTGTTATTTAAATAAAATAAAACAATGATGAAATATTGGTTTTTATGTATGCTCATGCTAATTGAGTGTAAAAGGCACTGGTAGCTGCAGAGGTGACGCCGTGGAAGAGGTGGTCAGGGACTCCCCTGTATTGGTCACAGCTGGCTTTGCAGCAGTCCCACCACATGCCAACGTTCAATCAAGCAAGAGTTTGTATTGCCTCTGCTGAAAATGTAGGTAAGAAATGGCAGCAAAGGAGACACAGGAACAAAGCAGGAACAAAGCTGGAACAAAGGAACAAATAACCTGTAACCTCACCCAAGGGGACTATAGCCTGCTAGAGAACTTCTGCTGGAGCGTAGAAAACCAGTGAGAGAAAAGCAGCAGTAGAAGAGTAAGGAACAAGGAGCAGCTGAAATAAACTATTGTGTTTTGACCATTCCCAACCTCTAGCATTGCCTGTTGCCTTGTTGAGGGCAACTGAAATACCTGTATTTTGATAAAATGGGGTAGAGAGCATTCTTTTAAGTCTGGTTCTGTAACAGTAGTCTTATGATGCTGACAAGTATTTTATCTTTAGACTATGCTTCCTTTAGAGTCTGGACAGCAAGGCTCAGGTCCGACGTGCATCTCGTAAAGAAACAAGACTACTTTCCAGCTGCTTTTCCCGTGTGTTTCTCTAGTGCAGTATGAATTACTTCAACAGCAAAGTCAACATCCTTTTTAGTAATGCACATAGGGGGTTTAATTCTAAATGTCTGAAGAGGAAGAAAAAGAAAAGACAACCTTAAGATCGTATGCAAAGAACACCTGTTCTAGCAGCCCATCTAGGTTAGCACCATCCCCTGCTAAACAATATAACCAAAACAATGAAAAATAATACAGAGCTGCAGTGCTGGGAGTAAGGCCTCTGAAAAACACACCCTGAAATGAGGCACTGACTGCTGCTTCTAATGCCCCCTCTGCTCCAGGGACAGATCAACTGTTTTCAAAAGAGAGCTGACTGGAGTAGATTGTATCTGTTACTCTAGGTGGAGCCTGAACATCCACCCTTAGATGGATTTGTACTAAGAGCCAGATGAAACAAAATGGGTATTTTTTTCCTTTCTAGCAACTTTGCCACAGTGAAACAGTACTTACTGAGAATGGTAAGTCCCCTGCATTGTGTTAACCTGCTGTCAGGTATTTTTCTTTTATATGAAAGGCTTTCCAGTAAGTTTTGAAGAGAATCACTAAAAGCGAACTTTCACTTAGATCAGTGTAGCTTGTTGATCAGGATTGCATGTTGATCAGGAAGGGATATATGCACAGTGCAATTTAGTAAGAAATTAGGTTCTAATAGTCCAAATGTAGTATAATGTTTACAAAGTCATTTAACTTGAGTAAGAATCTTAAACTTTCTTTTTAAGTTTTTCTGTCCATGTATTCTGTATGCAGACTATATGCAGAAAGCACATAATGGGCTTTCTTCCCCCACTTCAGCTGAGGCTGACTTCAGATAATGCTCCCAGGCAAAGAGCAATCCCATGAGCAGAATCAGATTTTACTACACTGAACTGCAGCATACAACCTGTCTTCTGGTTTGTGACTGGAAGCCTATGAGATGACAGAGGCAGTGCCCAGCTTCTTCTAGCCGTGTACCCATCTCATAGAAAAGCTGCTCTGAGGGTTTAACTGACCTACCATCCCAAAGTCTGTTACTAATCTGCACGCTCTAAGAAACTTGTGGCACGGAGCCATGAGTGCAGCATAATGTATGTTCAAGTGGCTGATGCCCATTTGGTTGCAATTCTCACTTCTGTGCTGTATTGCTGAATTTGCTGCTACGAGCTCTCTTTACATTTATTTTTTATATCAACATCCAGATAGAATATTATCAGCTCTCTAGAATGAAAGAACTAGCAAGAATAAACTTGTTTCTCTGTCACCAGATCAGGTTATAACTCCAACAGTAACAAATGATTAGCAGACCTGAATATTGCTGATTTCCTCTAATTAACATATATTATACTATCCTGCTTTTCTAAGTTAAATTGTCCTTCCAAAGGAATACTGCAAGCTTGAAGGAAGTTCATCCCACTTTAAAAGGAAACAAACAGCTCCTGCCTGTTCTGCAAACCAAGAAAAATTAAGCAGGGAGAGCTTTTAAATATATATGTTTTCTAGTTCATTTACTAAACTAAAATTAATTTAACCAGAAGTTCGATACCTGATTGTAGAGTCCTCCTCTGCCGATCAGAACACCCATGTCTTTACAGTCCTCCCAGATTTGATTGATTTCTTCACATGGAAGAGGGTGGCGACTGTCCTATGGAATGTGAACAGTAAGCTCACTAGGATATTCTAAATTAATTCCAGGAAAAAAATGTATTATTCCAGTTCTTCCAATAAATCCCATCGCTATCTCTGGCCGAAAACATCAGCTGCATAAAGTAACTGCCATGCTACAGGCTAGGGGAAGAGTAGCTGGAAAGCTGCCCAAAAGAAAAGGACCTGGAGACACCGGCTGACAGCTGGCTGAACACAAGCAAACAGAGGCCAAGAAACCCAATGACATGCTAATACAAGCAAGGATGTGATCGTCCCCCTGGACTTGGCACTTGGTGGCTGTACTCTGAATACTGTGGTTAGTTTGGGGACCCTTACTATGAGAAAGACTTTGAGGAGTTGGAGTGTGTCTAGAGAAGAGCAGCAAAGCTGGTGAGGGGTCTGGAGCACAGGTTTTGTGGGGAGTGGCTGAGGGAATTTGGGTTATTTAGCTAACAGTGGTCAGGCAAGACTTCATTGCTGCCTGCAGTGACATCAAAGGAGGTTGTAGCAAGGTGGGGGTTGGCCTCTCCTGAAAGGTAACTCATGATGGGACAAGAGGGAATGGCCTTAAGTTGCACGAGGGGAGGTTCAGGTTAGATACCAGGAAAAAAATCATTATTCAAGGGAAGCATTGGAACAGGCTGCAGCACTGTCTCTGGAGGTATTTAAAAGCCGCGGATGTGGTGCTTAGGGATGTGGTTTAGTGGTAGACTTGGCAGTACTGGGATACCAGCTGGGCTTGACCTTAGGTCTTTTCAAACCTAACTGATTCTATGATAATTGATCTGCTTTCTATGATGAATTTATGTAACTGAAGTGCACAAGTCACTGTTTACTTAAAACTTGTGAAATACTTGAAATGCCAGAATGTTTTAGCTCAGTTTTAGCCAGAACAGTGTTTTCTCACTCCATCATTAGTATTTAAGATAAAATCTTCATATTATCACATTTCATCTCAGCTGAAATAAAACTTGCAATGGCACCGTAAGTCAGAAGGTATAAAGTAAATCACCAACCTTATCTGTCACCATTTCTATCCCAATCATGAGTCCCTTGCCACGGACATCTCCAACAATCTCAAACTTCTCCCGTAGTTTAGCAAGCTCTAGTAACATGTATGTTCCCACATCCTTGCTGTTTTTTTGAAGATTATCTTCTTCAATAGCCTGGTAAAAAAGACATACAATGACAAAGCCACAAGAGAAGCTTCCTTCACCTCTGGTTAATCTCCATTTGGATTGGTGACCTTATGTTTATTTCACTTTCTCTCACAGATTTGCACACTGTGTTCCTTCATTGCTACAGTACTGAAATTTCTCCTCTCTTCCACTTAATCAGGTGGCATCAGGTTAAAACTGAACCTCTGTTCTTTTGCAAGTTTTATTTATTTCTCAACAATCATAATATTTTACTAATTCATGCTCACAAATAATCATAGGTGAAAAATACTTGGCCTCCATAATCTTGCCATAGATACTTTAACTCCTTCTCCAGCAATATGGAAAGAATAAAACTTGACATAATATACCTCTGTGTACGAGGCAGCATTTTAGTAAAGTTTGGGTGATTTAATTCTTTTAAATGCACTCCTTACTCTAAAAAGACCACTTTTAATCAAAGTTCTGACATGCTGCCAGCTATCAGCACTGACATGTGCAAATCATTTTATAAACTTAAAATGTGCTTTAAGAAAATTCATGAGTGAAAACAAAAAATACAATTTTAGAAGTTCACATGAGTGTTTTTCCCTCTTGTTTTCTTGCTTTTGTTTACTTTTTTTCTCCTGTCTCCTTTTCCTTCATTGCATTTTATTTTTCCTAATTCTGACCATCTTCTTGCTGTCTATCTATGTCTATCTGTTCCAGATACAGGCTCTGACTTACTTAAAAGATGACATTACAGATGACTCATATTCCTGCAAAAGGAATGGAATTTTGCGGTGGAGATAATGAAATTTTTTCCCCCTTCACACAGGGTACTATAGCTATGTACAAATAATGCTTGTGAATGTTGATAAATTCAATACAGCTGTAAAATTGCTGACATACAATTTTACAGTAAGAACAAATGCAAGCATTTCTTATCTATCTTTTGCTACAAAAAAAGCACAACACTCTCCTTACATCAAGAACTGCAGATCCCACTACGCAGGCCAAAGGATTTCCTCCAAAGGTATTGAAGTGAAGGTTTTGAGCCAAAGAATTTGCAATCTCTTAAAGAAAAAAATATAATAATTAGTCTTACAGTTTCTTTACATTTGGTAACAACAGTTACCTACTTTAACTTAAAAATTTGCTGTGCTCCTATCCTGACTCTAAGTGAGTGAAATGATAGATTGTAATATATTGCAAACATTATAGAGACCAGATTGTAAAGACGGACTTAAAAAGGAAAACACAAAGCTAATATCACACTTAACAGTTAGTTGTTGCCTTAGGGCATCACCTACAAACGTTCCTCACCAGATTTATTCATATGAATCAAGTAGTCAGTTAACATGCTGCCTTACTTATTGTGCATTAATCATTAAAATGGTGCACTCAGAGAGGAGCTCCAGGATCTATTACCATCTCTACCCATGACTCACAAGGTTATCTCTGCTTTAGTTATACTGCTAACCTCGTTCAAATAAATCTTGACACTGGTATAGCACAGCACTTGATAAAATCATACAAAATTGAGAACCCAACTCTTTCACCTCAGAAAACAGCTTGAGACCAAGATTTATTAATAATTAATAATTATTAAGATTTATTAATAATAAAGAACATGCACCTCTCCAGTAAGTAATTATTGTGCCGTATATTACGTATGTGCCCTATTTTGATCTTTAGCAGAACAGAATGAATATACCTTTTGTTGTAACAACAGCTGCCATTGGAAAGCCATTACCAATTCCTTTTGCTAAAGTAACTATGTCAGGGACTACGTCATGCGTTTGAAATCCCCAGAAATGGCTGCCTGTCCGTCCAAATCCTGTCTGTACCTTTCAAAGGAAAAACCCAGAGAAATCCCCGTTATCTTCTCACATTTTACAGTACAGTTCATTTTTCTTTTCTTTCTATCATTGCTGATCTGCAAGCACGCCTAGAATCAACTGCTGCAGTAAGATCCTTACTTGGGTAGCTTTACACAAAATACTACTTACTATAATTTGTTTTTTTCTTTCGCAAATGGAATAGCTAACACCTCACCAATCATAGGACGGTTGAGATGTACAAACACACTGCAGCATCCACTTAAAAAAGGAGAGGAAACACAATTGTTAGCATGTTTCAAAGTAGCAATCCTATTTCTGTTGATCTATTCTACCTTAGGCAAGTAGCACAGTCCCAAGAGTTCACCAGTATGGCAACAGGCGAATTTCATTTAGATAAATGGTTGAAGAGGAACAGCAAAATAAACCCTTTCTAGAGTTCACGTACTCCAACAACACTTGTAAGAAAGACTGCTATTGTGACAACAGCCAGGTCACAGCTGGCATTTATTAACTGCATGTTTTTGTAAATTTACTCTATGCTACTCTAAAACCCAAAGATTCAAGCCTGCTACAAGCCTTACCTGTGTCTAAAATTATTAGAATACCACAGTGCAGAATAAAGGCATTAAAAACCAGGAGCCTTGAAAAAAGGCACTGTGATATCCTTCATCTATGAAATATTTGTCAATTCCCTTATTTAGAGAGTTCCAGTTTGCCTTCAGGTGGATTTTCAGAAGACTTACAGAGATAGACAAAACTTCAGAGTTTTTAGGTCAAAACACTCACTTCATCTGAAATACAAACACCTCCTCTTTCCCGTACTAGCCGATAAGCTTCCTTTAAGAAACCTTTTGGGTACTGAACAGCTCCATTAATACCCTGCCAAGAAAAAAAAAACGTCTTCAGGAACAGAAAACGAAACAGGAATTTTGCTGGGTGATTATCCTACAGTGAGAAAAAAATCAGCAGCCCTCAGGTAATAGCAAGACTGTTGTCTCAAATTTCTGGCTTCAGCATTGAAACTGCTAGGTCACGTATTCCCATCCCATTGGGTAGTATCCTGTTCAGTGAGTTGTGCTTGTATAAATGTTTGTGAGGCCACAGCGTAAAATCAATCACTGTAAAACAGAATGGGTTGAAGATAAACTGCCAAAACAAGTACCTTGAAAACCTGTGCACTGAGAAAGACATAAACAGATTGGTGGGAAACCTAACTGACATCCCTTCTTTGGTAAAGTTGTTTAGAATACTGTTTCCTCAATTTCTGTTCACGTTCCCAGTTTTCTTTTTAATCAGAAATCTTACTCCATACCTAGAAGGCAACGGCTCCTTAGATCAGGGCTTAGTAAGTAAAAGCAGAGTTAAACTTTATGCGCTACAGCAACTGAGAAATGGCAAACTACCTACTTGAATTGGTTCAGCAATAAATCCAGCTATTGTCTTTGGCACAGCAGTGTTCAGAGTATCTTTGAACTGTTCAATGTACTGTTCGTTTGCATGACATACACCTGTTTAGAGGGAAAATATTTTAAAGACCATTTACTTAAAGTGGTAGAAGCAGCATCAACACATGAAACTGCACATCTAATCTACAAGTACTACTTGACTATATGGTAAATATCACCTCCCAAATACATAAAAAATTCTAAATCTTACAGGAAAGAACCCCTTATTTTCTCATAAACTATACTCCAAAGACTGCTAGTTTAGATACTGGCAAAGCTGCCAGACTTTTTACATATAACACAACTAAGTAATCTGCACGTTGGAGACAGTGTTTCTGAATCACTCACATCAGCAGAAGAAATAAGTAAACATTTTCTCAGGGGTTAATAAATGCCAGCATAAGGCATAGGGAATCATTAGGTTAGTGCAGGTACCAGGATTCTGGAGAATACAGTTGCATATCAGTCTATGCTGTAACGAAGAATAGAGCAAGTAGTATAGCTAATCCTCCTGATCACTACAGAGGGCAAAACTAAGAAGAGAATATTTTATATGCAAGTGAATTAAAACAACAAAAAACGCCTACTGACATGGTGGAAAAAAATACAGAATTTACTACCAAAAGGAGAGCAGTAGAGGAGCTTCCACACTGTATGACATGCATGAAACACAACCAACATTTCTGTTCTTTCCGATGTACGAAGGTTTGAGTTCCACAGGATCCCGAATATCAGAGCTGATCATGAAAAATGCTAGAAATAGGATTTTGGGAGGAAATTTGAGCGTATGACCAACATTTTTCCTGTGTGAAGCAGGTACATGAGGTTTTTGCAACATTTACTTTAAAAACCCTTGCAAATCCTAACCAGAGGCCTGATGAGGAATGACCATCTTTCTGGTGGAGGTAGATACAACCTAAACAATAATCTGAGCATACACCTTACTCCTATAGCCCCCAGGTATTCTCTAATCTAAAATACTCATACTTTTTACCATTTACCAACCTTCAGAACAGCTGCATCTTCGAACAGTTTGCACTGGTGAATCTCTACAATTGCTGCCTCCCCATGGACCACGAAAAACATCTGGTAACATTGTCTGTCAAGATAAAAGGAATATCTGATGACAGCTTTCTAAGAGATATGTTAATCATACCTGAGGATGACTCTAATGAAATAGCAAATGTATAAACAAACAACAACAACAAAAACCACTGCTAAAATGAATATCTACTTCCAGAGACTTGTCCAAAGAACGCTCATAAAATAATATCAAAATTCCTCCACATGGGTATTCCTGCAGTAGTGATTCAATCCATTGCTTCCTTTCATTTGCTCTTTGAGTTAGTCAGCCCTTATGGTTACCTAAGACTAACGGCAGCGTTGTCAGAGTTGCCAGTAGTACTTTAATAACCTAATAATCTAATAAGAACTTTAATAATCTAAACTATGACAAAATCTGCAAAGTACTGGCAGGCTGATATTACAGCAGATTGAAAACTGGGAATTCCTGCCTTCTAATCCCGCTGATGAGTTGCCTGAAGACATGGAATGTTTCATCTAGTGAACCAGACTGCGAGTCTGCTCTAAAGGTGCCTTCCTAGAGCTCATGCTGTGGCTCTACTGCCAGTTCAGACTGGAATATCCAATGCTATCTTCTGGTAATCAGAGAGCCATTCTCATCTTCTCAAGGGCACAGATATAACTTATTGCCATTTTTCTTCAATGGTCAGTAACAGATATCTCTCTTCTCTTGCTGACATAAAGGATGGGTTCATTTTCATTCCTGGGCAGTATCATCTTCAGATCATCAGAAATTAGCTTTGCACAGATTTGCCAAAGCAAACATGAAAAAAAAAAGTCTTGACTATTACTACTTTGCACATAGCTGAACTTCCATGATAGTACCAAGCAAAAAACAAAGCTCTGTAAATCATGATAACTTGTGTTATGATTGTCCCAAATCTAAATTAGCATAAGTGCTACATGGAGCATCCGGCTTCCAGTTCTTGTTGCAGGAGCACATGTGTAATGTGATCAGTAACTGTTAAGCACTTTGAAGACAGAAACTTACTAATCATTGAAATGTTCAAATACATTTCTATTTACTTAGATTATTATTATTATATTAAGAAAAAAATAATCTCACTGTTGAACAGCCAATGCCATTGGCAACACCATGTTTATAAGAACCGATAGACGTCAATCCCAGTGCGTAAGGGCTGCCTCCATGGTATGCTCCTCTGTGCAAACAGACAAAGTACAAGAACATTTCTCACTTCCAAAGAGAGACTGTAGTTTTGAGAAGGCATGTTTCTGAGCTACAAATTATTGGGAAAACTGCTTACTGATACACTCTGAACAAGAAGATTCAGACTGCCTTTTTTTGCTCAGTTTTTGAAAGTTCCTCAACTGCCCATCTATATCGGTTTCCTGCAGTTTCACACATTGTAATTGTGAGGTGTGTTCACAAAGACAAGAGTACGAGGACTTGAACTGGTAGCAATTCAGAAAGCTTTTACGTAAGTGTTTCACAGAGTTCTTCTGCAGCACCAGAACCTTGCAGAGTAAACATCTGTGTTCTTTCAATCACAGGAACTGCTGCTCTCTCAAACAGATACTGCCGATCATTAAACTATATAGAAGTTTATTGCTAGTTTTATACACAAATCAGAAGTTCATTATGCAGAATATATAAGCCAGGTAGACACTCAATGTTCTGTTGAACAGAATGGAAGAAAAATATAACTCTTCATAAAATGGCCTTTTATTCTATTAACTGTGGCTGTCTGGAAGCACAGTAAAAGAATTGCTTACATTGGTGCTTACGTAGCCCTCACCTCTGCACTACCACTGTAGTTAAAGTCAGAAGAACTGTTTGTGTAGCCGTGCAGTGAACTGTGGTTCAGGGATCTGGCAGAAATATAAGGCAACAAAACAAACAAAACCAGAAGATCTTTCATCTGGGATAGTTTTCAGCCAGATCAGTTCCCTGCTGTGGTTCACCGCACTGCTATTTCAGAGGTACCTTTGAACTCCCATAGATGAGAGCAGAGTCGGAACAAATGAGGAAAGCAGCAATTGCTGAGGACTGCTCTGACCTTGAATGGAGGTCCACCATGGTACAGCCTGAGCTAAATAAGAAAAGCAGAAATTGCCCCTTGTGTTTCCTATGCAAACGAGTCCTAATGTCCTGCACTAAATACTCAACTGATCTATTTCTTTGTCCAATGAGTGTCCTCAGCAGATCTGGTGTTAGATATTTCCATTATTTTTTTTGTTTTAGGCATACAGAAACCAACTACACACACAGGTAGCTTGATTAAGACAATCGCATTACCTGAAACAGATGACATCGAAGTTCCGAGTGTATAATCTTGCCATGAACATGGCCAAATCATTGGCTTCTGACCCACTGTTGGTTAGGTAAACCACCTACAGAAGAATGCTTAGGGTCAGTATAGTGCACAACCACAATCTGCTTAGATGTCACTTCGTAACACTACGAGGAATAAACTTTCACTGCTACAAAGAGATGCCACTGCAGTAAACTTCGTGTTGCCCACAGACTACAGATGGGAATGATGATCAAGATGGTCTATCTACTATGAGACAATACAGAAATCTTTAATGCCAGGAAACTTCAGGTTTTCCATCTCACATCTAAGATGTAACAATGGTTATGAGAAAAATGAAAGTGTTTGGGTAAAACTGAGCTGACCAACTGAAAAACTTTAACACAGGTAAAAACAGCTGTGTACTACCCTTGTACAACAGTTACAAGTCAAAGACAGAGACACAACAACAGAGAAGAAGAGGTGTAAATAATTTGCTTATTAGTTGCAAATGAAAATTAAGGGGATCTTTTTCCCTTGTTTTCCCTTTTATTGATTTCCCCCACTTTTCAGCTGTCCTCCTTGTTTCACAGAATCACAGAGTTGCTGGCATCGGGAAGACCATTAACTGAATGGGTAGATTGGAGTCTCCTGTCAAGCAAGGAGTCTCTGCTTCTTCTCGAAATCAGTCCTTAATGAGCCCCAATCTAGGCCAGTCTCTTCATTACACCTCTTTTCAGGAAGCACAGCTTTTAAATTTTATTTTCAGAGGAGTCTGAGATACTTCACTGCTTATTCTATGCAGATGCTTTACATTCATTTATTTTTAATGCTCTTCTTCCATTTTCTAAGACTGCAATAGCTTCACACATCTCTAGTAACCAAATTTCATTTTATGACTGGTTTCTTTTACCTGAAAAAAATCACAGTACTTTTCCTACTGATTCTGTGAATGTGATACATGACATTCATGTGGTTTGTTTACTTAAATAGCAGTAAAAATCACTACTCAAGATGCAGTCAAATACATTGCTCTTATAATTTTTGCAAGATCCAGTTAAAGATAATTACATGTAACAACAGTTAACAGCATTTCAGTTCCTTCAGTCATTTTTAAAGTGGCATCATCCTTTCAGAGTGTTCACTGGAGAGAAAGACTCAAGCAGAACAGCAGGAGCTTGGTTTATTACACTTGTCTACATCTGAGTGAGTCTACAGATAAAGTCTAGAAGCTCATCATGTTCTCTTTACCTGAAAGGCTGTGAAGAGGATTTCCCTTAGCAGATACTGTGGCTCTCATTTATGTATATAATAAATATTTCCATTTAATAAACAGACACCCCCGATTCCCACCCCTGCTCTGTCAGAAGTGAAGTACCTTAAGTGGATCTGGAAGAAGTGAAGTTAGCTTCTCAGCATATTCATGGATTGATGGATGCATGTAAATATTAGTGGTATGCCAAAGGCAAGCAAGCTGTTTTTGGGCAGCCATAGTTACCTTCCTGCAGGTAGCACAAGAAGAGACACAGGGTTTTAATTCAACACACATGTATGCAAGCACATACATCCCTACTTCCATTACTATGCTGAAAATCCAGACATGGCTGCATCTGCCATCTGGATGAGCAAATAAATGAATGAATTATTCAAAATATTGTGGAAATTGACCCAACTATGTAATACACAAAAATCCAGTGAATTATACCCTGACTTTCGGCTCACAGTGCCTGAGATGAACAAAGCCATCAGAAGTATTTCTCTTGCATTTTGTACTGCATTTCTGGAAATCAATCAGTAACATACTTACGGATGGCAGTGACCAACACTGACAGTAACAATTCCAGCAAAGAGATCAAGATATCTTCGTCCTTCATAATCAAACAGCCACTGCATATGTCCTTGATGCAGCAACAAAGGCTTCTTGTAATACATTCGCAGGGAAGGAGCGATATTCTGCTCACGAATCTTCAGCATGTGTTCATATGGATATGACTGAGGGGAATAAAAAAGTCAATATCTGTTCATGCATTCTAAAGATGCAGTGGTTGTTCATAGAACAGAATTTTAATATACAACCAACTTTCTGAACCAAGACTGCTGTTCTATGCTTACTTATCCACTAAGTCTTTCAAACCAACAATTTAGCCATAAATCGTGGAGATGCTGCACAAATGCATCTCTGGGTTATGACTATAGTTCTAATAAACAAGAAAATTCTCCAGGTCCTACTTGATGGACAGACTATTCATGGCAGGTGAGGTTATCACTCAGAGCTCATACTGCAGTCTTACATAAATTCAAGCGCAGTGTGACTTACTTGGTATTTTTCAGGTACAAAGTTGCAAGGAGGCATTTTTGCCCGCATGGACACAGAACTTTTCCATTTCTGCTGCCTAAAGACAACTGCAAAACAGTAGCAGAATTATCAAGCAGGAATCAAAGTGCACATCTGAAAGAGTTTCTCAATAAGCTTGCTCACAGAACACACAGGCTACCATTAAAGCAATTTTTTTTTTTTTTTTTTTTTTTTTGAGATATTTCCTTCGGACGGAAGAAAATTACTTAAATACTCCGTTTTTGTAAAGGCAAAATGTGTCTTATTTCTGATGGAGAAGGAAAAAACAGCTTCTGACAGCTCTCGTCAAGGAGCAGCATGAGCAGAGCCCTTTTGTCCGGGGCTGCAGAGCAGCTCTGAGCAAGGTGGCACAGCACCCGCACACAGCTGTAGTTTCAAGGCGCTCTCTCTGCACCCCAACGCAGAACGGGACACCTTCGTTTTTCAGTGCCCCTGACACACGTTAAAACCTGGAGGAACGAGAAATAAAGCTCCCTGAAATAAACCAGGTACCAGCCGCTCAGAAAATATGAATGAATAAATGAATAAATGACCCGTAAGTCTCGACAAGCTCTGCTTCCACAAGAACCCACATCCCGCCCCAGCCCCCGCCGGGGCTCGCAGAGCTTCGGAGCTGCGCTCCTGCGGACGAGCTCCACCTCAGCCCCCGGCTCGCCGCTATCGTCGCCCGTCCTCTCCCGCAGCCGCTCCCTCACCGCCGCCGAGCCGCCCGCCGCGCCCCAGCCCGCCCGCCATGCTCGCCGCCACAGCCGCCTCACTGGCCACCGCCCTCGCCCCTCCCCTCGCTGTCCTGCCGCTGCGACCGTCTGGATGGGCTGCTGCTCAGCGGCGCGCCGCTCTGCTCGGGGCTGAAGGCCGCCGGGGCGTCGCTGACTTTAGGCTGGCCCGATGTGCAAGGCCGGACCTGAGCTACTACTGAGTTGCGTTTCTTTTTTTTTTTTGAATGAATGATGGTCGAGCACAAGGTGAAATAATCTCGTACGTAAAGAAGCACAAACACCTCGGAGGTGTGGCTAATGCTGAATGTGCGGTCATGAGGAATGTGGTTACAAGTTCTCATCACTCTGAAATGCCGATAAATTTTCTGTGTGTTGGCCATCACTTAATAGAGAAAGCACTCCCAGGCTGAGCGTGGGTGTGCGGGGCCTTGGCAGAAATGACAAATCAGGGAAACAGTGTAATGGACTCACTAAGGTTGGAAAGGCCAATGAGACCATTTAGTCCAGCTGTCAGCCCATGCCAGTGTCTGCTCCAGGGTCAGCAAAAAACTGCAAGGACAATAACACCACCAGCTCCTTGGGAGCCCGTTACAATAGCTCACTGCTCTTTCTGAGAAGTTCTTCCTACCATCCAACCTGATACTCCCCTGGCACAATTTAAGGCCATCTCTTCTTTTCCTATCGCTGTTACCTGGGAGAAGAGGCCAACCCCTGCGTCACCACAACCTACTTTCAGGGAGCTGAAGACGGCAATAAGGTCTCCCATAAGCTTCCTCCAAACGTCCCAGTTCCCTCAGCTGCTCCCCATAAGACCTGTTTTCCAGACCCTTCAAAGCTTCACTGCCCTTCTCTGGACACACTCTTTTACCTTTCTTGTAGTGGGGGGCCAAAAACTGAGCACAGTGCTCAAGGCATGGCCTCACCAGTACTGGTACAGAGGGATGATCACCTCCTGCTGTCTGCACTATTTCTGACTCAAGCCAGGATGCCATTGGCTTTCTTAGCCACCTGGGCACACATCAGGCTCGTGTTTAGCCAGCTGTCACGTAACACCCCCAGATCCTTTTCCTCCATATAGCGGAAAAGTAGAGTCACATTGCTTTTGGCTGACAAAGTTGTAATTATTTGTTACTTACATTTATTATTATAGCATCTCTCCTGTGAAGAAAGGATGAGGAACCAGGCTTGTTTAGCTTGGGAAACAGAATGCTCCAGAGAGACCTCATTGTGGCCTTTCAGTACTTGAAGGGAATGTGTAAGCAGGAGGGAGAATGGCTGTTTATGAGGGTGGATAGTGATAGGGCAAGGGGGAATGGCTTTAAACAGAATCAGGGAATGTTTGGGTTAGATATTAGGAGGAAGTTTTTCACACAGAGTGTGGTGACACACTGGAACAGGTTGCCCAAGGAGGTTGTGGATGCCCCATCCCTGGAGGCATTCAAGGCCAGGCTGCATGTGGCTCTGGGCAGCCTGGTCTGGTGATTGGTGACCCTGCACATAGCAGGGGCGTAGAAACCAGATGATCTTTGAGGTCCTTTTCAACCCAGCCCATTCTATGATTCTATGATTCTATAATCACTTTTTTTTTCTCCGAACCATGAAAAATTCCCATTATGTACCAACCATAATGACCACTTCAGGACATTTTGGATGAATGTAAATGCTGCTTTCATTCAGGGTTTACACCTTGGTTTAATTTCATCCCATGAAACTCAGTTAATGTACTTTAGTTTAAATTTCCAACATATTTCTACAAGACAAAGGTAATACTAGCTTTAGCCTGCTTTATTTTTGGAAAGCAGATGAATTTGCCTTCTTTCATTTCTTCCCCATTCCCCCATTGTAATAATACTAAATAGTAGCAGAAGAAATAGATTTGTGATGGTATTCCCTAGTAACCACTATACACAGTAATTACACACAATTGCCAGTGAAAATTATGCCTATATACTAATGCACAGAGCATGGGGAACAAGCAAAAAGAGTTGCAGGCATGTGCACGCCTACAGGGCTGTGATGTTATTGGCATCAACTGAGATGTGGTGGGATGGCTCTCATGACTAGAATGTAGGAATGGATGGGTATAAACTCTTTGGAAAAGACTGGCAAGGGAAAAGGGATTGGGTATTGCCTTCTACATCAATGACCAGCTGGAGCCCATGGACCTGCACCTGTGGATAGATAAAGAGCTGACTGAGAGGTTATGGGTTAGGATTAAAGGGAAGGCAGGGGAAGGAAACACTGTAGTGGGAATCTGCTATAGGCTGCCAGACCAGAAAAACCGACTGGATGAGGCGTTCTATAAACAGATAGGAGCAGCTTCACATTCAGTTCCCCAATCATCATGGGGACCCCAATATTTGTTGGAGGAACAACACAGCAGGGCACCAGCAATGAGAGAGATTCCTGGAATATGTTGTTGATAACTTCCTCTTCCATGTTGTACAAGAACCTACAGGAAAAAGTGCTATGCTGGGCCTTGTCCTCATCAACAAGGAAAAACCAAAGAATAATGTGAAACTCAAGGGCAGCCTTGGATCCAGTGACCATGAAATTGTGGAGTTAATGATCCTTAGGGCATCAAAGGTGCTCTGCAAGCTTGCTGCTCTGGGCTTCAGGAGAGCAAACTCTGACCTCTTCACAGAATCACAGAATCACAGAATCACCCGGGTTGGAAGGGACCCCAAGGATCATGTAGTTCCAACCCCCCTGCCTAGCAGGGCCACCAAACATACACATTCAGATCAGGTTGCCCAGGACCCCGTCCAACCTGGCCTTAAACACGTCCAAGGACGGGGCATCCACAACCTCCCTGGGCAGCCCGTTCCAGGGCCTAACCACTCTCCTAGTAAAGAACTTCCCCCTAACATCCAACCTAAATCTTCCCTCCTTCAACTTAAAACCATTTCCCCTAGTCCTGCTGTTATCAGCCCTTTTGAAGAGTTTACTCCCCTCCTGGGTGTAGGTTCCCTTCAGGTATTGATAGGCTGCAATGAGGTCGCCCCGCAGCCTTCTCTTCTCCAGGCTGAACAAGCCCAACTCCCTCAGCCTGTCCTCATAGGGGAGGTGCTCCAGCCCCCTGATCATCTTAGTCGCCCTCCTCTGGACCCTTTCCAAAATCTCTATGTCTTTCTTGTACTGAGGGCTCCACACCTGGACACAGTACTCCAGACGGGGCCTCACAAGAGCCGAGTAGAGAGGGACAATCACCTCCCTGTCCCTGCTGGCCACCCCTCTGCTGATGGAGCCCAGGATCCCATTTGCCTTTTGAGCTGCCAGAGCGCACTGCTGGCTCATATTCAGTCTCTCGTCCATCAGGACCCCCAGGTCCTTCTCTGCCGAGCTGCTCTCAAGGACCACTCCTCCCAGCCTGTACAGGTGCCTGGGGTTCTTCCGGCCCAAATGCAAAACCTTGCACTTTGCCGTGTTGAACCTCATCAGGTTCACCCGAGCCCAGCCCTCCAGCCTGTCGAGGTCCCTCTGAATGGCATCCCTTCCTTCCACCGTATCAACCGCACCACTCAGCTTGGTGTCGTCAGCAAACTTGCTGAGGGTGCACTCAATTCCCTCATCGATGTCATTAATAAAGATGTTAAAGAGCACCGGTCCCAAGACAGACCCTTGGGGGACACCACTTGTTACCGGCCTCCACCTGGACATAGAGCCATTGACCACCACCCTCTGTCTGCGGCCTTTCAACCAATTGCTTATCCATCGGGTCGTCCACCCATCAAATCCACTTCCCTCCAATTTGGAGATGAGGATGTGGTGGGGGACCATGTCAAAGGCCTTGCTCAGGTCCAGGTAAATGACATCGGTAAGGCATTCCCTCTTCAGGGAACTGCTTTGCAGGTTGACGTGGGATAAGGCCCTGGAAGGAAGAAGGGCCCAATACAGATGATCAGTATTCAAGGACCTTGTCCTCCAACCCCAGGAGTGCACCTCAAGAAAAAGGAAGGCAGGCAGCTTTCCCAGTGAACTTGTGAATGCCCCGTCTCCGGAAACATTGAAGGCTAGACTGGATGGGGTTCTGAGCTACCTGGTGTAGAAAGTGGTGTCTCTGCCTATAGCAGGGGGTTGGAACTAGATGATCTTAAAGGTCCCTTCCAACCCAAACATTCTGTGATTCATATGGATGATATTTTGCAATATTTTGGAAAAAAACCCTAGCAACTCTGGAGGTAGAAGTCTGCCTACCCTGAAATGCAGCCCCAGCTCTGCAGGAAAATGTTCTGATGTTGCTGTGATGGGTCAGAGATTTCCACTTTCTGCTAACGAGTGAAGTGCTTACATACATTTGTACTTCCAAATTCTCAAACTTGTTCAGTCAAACTTCAATCAAACTTTACTTGTGAAAACTCACAATGCCTGAATTTCAGTGGAAGAAAAATAAAAGAGAGCTGTAAGGAAACACAACCCTAAAAGTAGTGACCTTGTGAAGGAGCTTTCTGCGTTTACTCTGTAATTTCCATGAAACCTCAAAGTCCAATTGTAGGCAATAGCAATTCAGGTTTCCCTCCAGTTCTGCCTTCTCTCCCACAGGTTTGGATTAGATGTGTATACCACTTGTTTTGTTCTCTGAAGAATATATTCTAGGAGTGAAAATAAACATGAGTAAAGCAGCCAGCTTCTCCAGGAAGTCAGAAGCCCCTCCTCTTCACAAAGGAGATTCTTTAATTCCCAGCTTTGGATGCATGGATGTACATGGCTCTTTCAGTAACGCAGTGTGAAGTCTCCTGCATGCTCAGTGGGCTAAACATACCTATTACTGAGCCTTCAATTTGTGGAATATGTAGGAACCTGTCCTACAAACTGTGCTGAATTCTGACTCTTCCTTGTTATATATAATGAAATTAATATATTTTTAGGAGGAAGACTAGAAGATTTTGTGAATTCTATTCAAGAGCTTTTATTAACTTGAAATGCGAACACCATTGCAAAGAGATTTTACAATGACAAAATGTAGAAAAGTCCACCAGAAAGCTACAGACTTCAGTAACAATATTGATCTTACAA